AAGAAGCAGACAGCCTCCAGTGCTTGCATTAAACTAGCACACGATCCCACAGCACCCCCCAGTGGCACACAGATTTAACACCCCAGCCCCCATGCTCCCAGACCAGCCACTGTGCTCAGCAGGGAGAACCCACCTTTGGTCCCTCGTAAAGGAAAGAGTCCCATATTTTGAAGAGGATGTCACTAAGGACACTATCCACAAACACCACCAGAAACCAGTTGAAGGTAATGAGGGTGTAGTCAACTTTATACTGTTCAAAGTGGGCATGCAATCGAGGCAGCTTCTCACTCATGAGGTCTCTGAACACCCGCTGGTCCACCTGAAGGGAGAACAAATGGTTAACAGCAGCCAGGGCAGCCCTTCACACCTGTCACACAATTGTCCCCACCACTCTGCTCCCAAAGCAGCTGGCTCAGCACATGGGAGACACTGCACATCAATTGCTCACTGAATGTGGGGGAGCAGACCACGATGCCACCCTTTCCACAAGGCAGGGGGAGAGCTACCGCCTGACATCAACTCTTATCAGAGAGATGTCTGCCAACAGTCATGCTGATACAAAAGGCCACAAACCCGAGTCCTGGGAAGACACAAGTCTCGAGCTAAAGACAATGTGCCATGTCACCATTGTCCATTCAGTATTATTGACCGGTTTGTGCCACGAGGTCCCTGTGTAATGCAAACTGTCTGCAACTATTAACGACTAAAAACAGTTCAAAGCCACCCAGCAGCATCACGGAAGAAAGGTCTGGCAATCTGCTTCCAGAAGAATTACAGCCAAGAAACCCCTATGGAGCAGTTCTACTCTGTAACACACACACGGGACTGCCAGGAGTTATAGAATCCACACATGTCAGCATGGTTTGTGTTTGTCAATAGTGTAGTAAGGGTAGCAAGCGTTCTGGGGTCAGAGGGGCCTGGGCTTGATTCGCAGCTGGGTGGCCTGGGAAGAATTGTGCTGTAGGACAAATTTGTGCCTCAGCTGACAGCTGTTGTGATGGTTCCGTGAGACTTTTACACACCACCCTATGCACAACCGACCAGCAACAGGAAGTCAGTCCCCGTTCCCTGTTCTATGTCTTAGGCACAAGGCTGACTCAGGTCCCACAGCAGGGAGGGTCCCAGTCAGGCTGGGAGGAGTACAGAGTTCAGGAGGATCAGGGAGGTGAGGCAGCACAGCCTGGCACAAGCTGGTACAGAAGCCAGTATGTCACCCTCCAGGTTCTCCCAGGCTTTTGTCTTTGACCGCACAAGAAAAAAAACCATTTTCCACAATCACTCAATTCATGATCTGTATGTACATGTACAAAACAGAAACAAATGTTTCACAGAAAATCAATATCCAACCTTACACCACAGGGCACACTTTGATGGTTTCAGATCTAGTCTAGTCAATTTCACGTGAAGAAGAACGGAGCTAGGCCCACCCACTAAGCTGCGCCACAGTGGAACAGCACACCAGGCCGCTGGAAGCGTGAATTTCAGCTGCAATTCTGCTTGAAGCCCATCTCTGGCGGCACCTGGCTGGAGGCCAGGCTGCCCACAGTCCAGGCAGAGGGGAGGGGGAAGGGCAGAAGTGTGCAGAGCACGTATGCTCAGGACTATTTTGGAGGTAAAATCTGCAGAACTGTGAAAAAAAAAAAAAAATAACGGCTTTTGGGGCTGTGGAGGTCAGGAAGACAGAGCTCAGAATTTTCAAGTTTCTGGCCGGAGGCAGAGGGCAGTGAAATGGTCCCAAGGCCGGATCACAGGTCAGACAGAGGGCTAGGGCACGCCGGAGCCTGACCCAGAGTGGGCATTTCCGCCATGCTCTTCCCAGGCCTTGGGAGAACCAGCACTCAGGATCCCTGGGAGGACAGGGCTGGATTCAGGCGGTACCTCAGGTGGGTGGAGAATGAATGAGATCAGCGGAGGACAGCAAGGGGCTGAAACCAGAGCCCCACAGGATGAAGGGACAGGTGATGGGCAGGTCCACAGACAGGGGAAAGCCACCGCACAGTGCTCACAGGTTACCCCTGAGGCCTAGAGTGCTCCGTGGTCAGTTCCCCTGGAAGGTCCAGCCCTCCCTTACACCTGGCCCCATCCCCCTGAACTCCTCACTAGATCATTCCATTCCTCAGCACTCAGCTATCAACTGCCATATGCGCCACACTTCCTGCCTGGCAGTGGTTGGTGACCAGAGAGATCGTCCACGGATTCACTATACCTGGAGCGCCATGGCTGGAGGCCCCCGGAGGAAGGAAGTACAAGCCAACCTTAACGTGGATGGGAGAAGGTCACACCAAGTGGCAGACTGAGCCTCGTACTTGAGGCTGCCTGGGGGCTTGGCAGAGGACTGGGTGAAGCAGGCTGCCAGGGAAGGCATGCTTGGCCTGTGTCTCAGCCCCTCCCTACTAAGCGCTGGAAGACACGGAATGACTGTTATCACCTCCGTCCTCAGAACCTAGCAAGGTCCTGGCATCCAATGTGTACTCAATGACAAAATGAGTGGGAAAGCGGCACGCATTGGACCGCAGCCGTAGCAGCAGAAGTGGGTAAGAAGTCTCAGGCAGTCGGGGCTGGCAGGAGGCTCAGTGCCGGGGGTTGGCCACACATGTGAAGCCATACCTGTGCTTAGTTTGCTTTACAGAGTGACTACGGACAGAAGAGTGGAATGAAGTCTGTGCAGACATCTGACAGGATATGACAGTGAGGAAACAGATCAGGGCATGGGAAAATGCTCACTCTAAGGTGAACCAGCCAGGACCACCAAGCTCTCAGCTTGAAGACCTTCAGGTACTGGAAAAAGGCAGAAAGGAAAAATACACAAAACTGTTAGCTGGGGTTTTCTATTTGACAGGATAGGTTTTCCATTTTCTTAGTATCTTCCTGTGCTGCTTAATTCTTTTTGTTGTTGTTGCTGGTAAGTGCCGTCAAGTCGGTTCCGACCCATAGCGACCCTGCATAGAGTTTCCGAGGAGCAGCTGGTGAGCTTGAACCGCCGACCTTGGACCTTGCAGTTCAAATGGCTTTGCAGTCTGACGCATTAACCCACAGCACCACACTAGGACTAAACATCTATTACTTTTATAATTGGGGGGGAAACTCCCTTAGAATTTATATTTATGTTTGAGACAAACTGACACAACTTTTATCCACACACTTGAAATAGGTCTTCCTCCTTTGTTTATAACAATATTAATAATGCCGATCATTGAGTTTTCATAATGCTCCAGACATTAGGTTAATCTCTTTATGTATCATCTGAATTCAACTTCGAACCACCTAAGTCAGGTGGGCACTGTCCTCGCTGACAAATGGGCAGATTGAGGCACAGAGCTATAAAGTGATGGGACCAAGCTCCACAGCTCACAGTGTAGAGGGCCTGGCTGGCTTCCTACCCAGCCCAAGCATGCCACCAATGTGCTCCCCCACCTCTCAGTGAAAGTACAAAACATCACGGTTTCATTTTCCTTATTCTGAAATACAGTCACCTGAGATTTTAAATTTGGCCTTTCAAAGCTATTGGCTTTCAGCTGCCCATGAATATACAATATGTTTTACTAACTTCTTTAATCCCACCTAACTGTGTGACGCTGTGGGTTAATGCGCTGGATTGTAAAGTTGGTTTGAACCACAAGCTCACCAGCCACTCCTTGGAAACTCCTTATACAGGGTTGCTGTGGGTCAGAACTGACTTGACAGAACTTAACAACACAACTCCACGTGCTGCCATTTAAATCCTACTTTACACATTATGGTGAAAGGAGACACACCTGAAGGTGAGCCTCCCTGGGAGCCATCCACACAGGGAAAGCTGAGGCAGGGGACCCAGAGGTGGCAGCTGTGGGGACAGCCCACTCACAGGAAGGCCACAGGGTAGCACAGAGGTCCACAGCGGCAGGCATGGAGCCACAGCTAGAGGTGACACCTGAGGCAGAGTGAGGGGAGCAACACCTCCGACTCCGTCCTCCGTCTCCTGATGGACCTCCGTTGCCAACACAGGAGCCGGGAGACATAGCCGGCGGCCATCCCTGTCATGAACTTGGATAAGGGGCTAGGGCTCAGCAGGCACAAAGGCACAGCTGTATGCAAGACATGAGTGAAGGCCAGGCAGGAAGCAGAGAAAGGGGCGTATACATACATGGAAGCCCACGTGGTCAGCAGTAGCCCCAGCCTAGCCCAGGGAAGAGGTGCCCTGGGCCATGAACTCTCCCAGCACATGTCATCCCAGCACTCACTGTCCCCTGGCTTCAGACTCCATGTGCGTGGACAAGGGACAAGGAATGCACGGCTCCCATCCCGCCCCATGATCGCCTCTCTGGGGCCCTCACCACATCTGCTCACGAGGAACGGCACAGCAGGCGCACCGCTGCAGGTGCATCTTGTGAGCTTCCAGCACCTTCAACAGCTGGTCCGGGCTGCAGGACTCCCACTGACTTAGCCTAAAGTGTCTTAGGACTCTTCCTTTCCCTGATCTGGACTTCCCATCCCCTTCACCCTTCACAGGTGTTTTAACCTGGCTTGTCTGCTCCCATCCTGGCATCTGCTCTGGAAGAAGCTGAGCTAATAGGCCAGGCTCCCCAGATCCTCCTGGATCCTGACTTAGTTGACCATTTGGGAGAGAGTGCTGAACAGTGAGTAGTATACCAGTCTCTCATTGTGAGTAAACAATCAACTGACTGGTTTCCAGTGAGCTGAGCAAGCCTGCCTGTGCCACTCTGTCCACAGCCTCAGGGACACGCCAGCCTCAGGGACACACACCCAGCCTTCCTGCGCTTTGTCCAGCACTCAGTGACTGACGTCATACATACCACGCTTCTTTCTGCCCCTCTGTCCCCCAAAAGGCTTAGTTCAAGTCACATTCCAGCTATAACTCTACAAGATGGAGACTGGAGCACATTTGCTGAAGTACCTGGGATCCTAAAAGAGTCTTCGTGTAATAGTCTCGAGGCATGAAAACTTCCACAATGGTAACGAGACACCAGAAAGCGTCTTCTTGTTCCAGGTACAGGAGGGCAACTGCCACCAATCTATGAGCAAACAGAGAACAAGGTCAGCGGCAGCATCCTGCACCCAGATGCCGCTGTCCGACTCCACAGAGATAGCTGGGGAGCACCGCTTACTTGCTCTGGGACAAAGGGGTCTCTAGTTTCCCAGCAAACAACAGTAAGTATTCTTTGCCAAGTGATGTATGTTCTAGAGTCTGAGAAGCAAAGCTGCGCTCCCTCGTCACATTGTTCAAAGAGGATCAGATTGTTTCCCAGTGATCAACCTAAGTCTCATTTTTTTTTTTTTTAAATAAAAAGGTCTATTTTCATTACAAAATTTTAGCTAGTGCATCAAGTTCTGTGAGTTACTGTTGAAGAAATCCCAACAAATCCTTTTATGGACAAATGTGAACGGAAGTGAGTAAGATGACATAGAGGCTTAAAAACAACTGTCCCGAGAACTTCCGGAAAAAGATGGCAGATCAGGTGGAAGTGTAGTGACGAGCTCTGGCACGAACAACACAGAATACAGGACCAAGAAGGCTCAGAGAATGGTCCTAGCACTCTGAACCACATATAAAGGAATATTTAGAAGGTTGGAACACTTACAGCTGGGGAGTTTGTGGCAGAAGCAAGAAATCCATTGCTTCCTGGTTTGGGATGCTCAGCTGCTCCAGGAGCTGCCATTTTGTGTGGGGCCAAGCAGGGAAAGGATCAGAGCAGCCATGGACGCCTGACAGAGCCGCAGAGATAAAGGTGTGGACATTCTTTTTTTTTTGTATCTTTTCGTTGGTCCCTTGCTGTCTACGTACCTCCATTCTGGTAACTATAGGGGTGCCTGAACTAGTGGATACTCCAGCCCCACCCTCGGAGGGTTCTACTACGCATGTGCATAGATCTCCTTGAAATTTAAAGAGACAGTATCCACTTAAAACCAAACGGCTGACAGATACTCAGCC